ACAGATAGGCCAGAGAATTAATGCGAAACCAACCAGGGGAATCAAACCGTTGACTTTGTGTGCTGTGCTGTGCTGTTGAACTCAGACGGGAGTCATTGATGAGACCTTTCGGTTTGGTTTACATATACAAACCAGGAAAAATTACGGAAAAAAAAAAACGTATCATACCTCTAATTTTTATAATTTTGTGGGTATTTTTATAAATATTTTTACAACAAAAAAATTTATAACTTTTATGAGTATTTTTATAGTTTTTGTGGTAGTTTTGCGATTGACTATATTATTTTTAGTTCAATAGTCAGGGGTATTCAAGTCAATTTACGTGCACTTCGATTAATTTTTTTCGTGATCTGGTCAAAAATAGGTTATTCAAATTAAGATTAAGGTATTCATAAAGAATAAATTATTTATTATTACGTAATTCCAAAAAATTGTCAAAATTCAATACGAGAATATGAGTTTATAATTCGTCATTTTTTTTATTACGCGAGCTATGCCGCGATTACCGTAGAATTCTTCATACAAACCAAGATGGTATCAATTGCTAGCCATACGGCAGGTGGACGGGTCACCATGTGATTTCACCTGGGAATAAAAAACGAACCAAAATTTATACTTGTTGTTTCACACGGTAAAGTTGACAAGTCCCCTAACATAGCTGTATAAGGAGGAGTTGTCTTAATGGTAAATAGCAAACCTCACTTTACACTATGTCCAACTACTTTATCGAAAAACTAATTTTTTTTTTTTTTTTAGTGTGCGGCTTATTCTTGTGGCTTGGGGAGGGCTAGTCCTTTTTTGTAGATTTATTTTGGCGCAAGTACACTCAAAAATTTTATTTAGGAATAAGTCTATTTTGATTTTTATTGTCTAAAATACCCTTAATAGTTATATTTAGTCAAAACATATTTAAAAAAATTAACAACTTCTAAATTAAGAATTGTATTAGTATTAATAACTCATATTTTAGAAATTGTACTAGCATTAAAATTATATATATATATATATTAAACAGTAACATGCTCAACAAAAAAATAGTAACATCAAACAATAACATGTTCAATAAAAATTTAATCGTTGTAATAGAGTGACATCCCCATAACAAAATAAATACTTACATATAGTGTGACTCTATTGTCATGATTAATTTTTTAATTAAGTTTTTTATTGAGCGTGTTATTGTTTAATGTTACTATTTTTCTGTTGAGCGTGTTACTGTTTGGTATTATCATTTTTTTGCTGAGCGTGTTACTGTTTAATATTACTATATGTGTTTGTGTGTGTGTGTGTGTGTTTTGGATATATGCTTGCTTGCTTCTTAAGAATTATTCATTTTCAGCTTAATGCGAGTTTAAACTTTCAGTTTAGTACGTGTTTAAGTTCAGTACTTAATTATTTCGCGTTCAAATTTAATGTTCCATTTGTTTAGTTATACTATGTCTTTAGACATGGGTTCTCCCTAGTATGTATGTGTGTGTGTATATATATATATATAAATTAATGTATATATGAGATAGAAAAATAATATATATATGTGTGTGTGTGTATATATATACATATACATACGAGATGGAAAATTAATTTTAATATTAGCACAATTTTTAAGTTAGGAATTGTTATATTTTAAAACATTGAAACTAACAATAATAGATAATATTTATGGCAAGAGTAATTATAGAATACATTTTAAAAAGAATTTGAAATGTTTTAAAATGTGTACTTATTGACAACTATTTGATGAAAAAGAGAATTTAATGGAATATAAATTTGAAGGTAGTATTTAAAGTCAAATAAGTTCTACAAAAGTTATTCACAGCCAACTATCTCCTTATTTTTCTCTCTTTAGAATTATAACATGTGAAATATGTTCTATATTTTATCATTTCACTTTATTTCATTGTTTTCAAGATCAATGGTTACAAATAAACCAACACAAGATCTAAGGCTAAGATCTATTTTTCAGCATGATATGCACATTTTATTGTGGGTAGCATAATCTTATCCTTATTTAGGTTTTCATTTAGAGGGTTAAGATTTGAGTCCCATCAGGTAAAATATTTATTTTCTAGGAATATATTAGGAACACCGATGTATTGCTTTAAAAAAAACTATTTAGAAACACAAATGTAAACTATTTAGCGAATAGGAATATATTAGGAACACGAATGCATTACCTTAAAAAAGGGGAAAATTTTCAAAAACTTTCCAAAAAGTTATTCAATTCCCCAAAAAAACCCAAATTCGTTTGGTTTATTTAGAAGCCCAAAAGTATAATTTTGTATACCGTAAACCCAATCGTTTGATCTACAATAAGTAAATCAAAAAAATTTCTCATTCTAACAAGGATGACTCTTATTTTAGATACTGACCCTAATAGAATTACATCGTGTTATTTCGAGTTAGTATATTTATATAATTGTGAATTGGAATTTTAGAACTCATATTTCTTTCGATCCAATCCATCATATGAGTTAAACATATAAAATGATAATGTTAAAACTCAAAAGCATGAGACAATTACTTGAACTGAGAAGCTCAGGGTTTAGGAACAACGACTTGTGAGTATGAACAGTGTGTGAGAGATTGATGGGTGGCTGAGCCTGGAGGCTCTATAAAAAGCTACAAGAAACGTAGAACAGAGATGAAAACTAGAGCATGAGAGAGAACACACAGACTATAGTGATTTATCAGTTGAAGAATTTTGTTAATTCACTCTAATAAAGTCTCTTGTTCTTTGGGATGTTTTCTATTGTTTAGAGAAGAAGATATGTATAATTTATATCCACATGTGAGGTGGTTCTTACGTCATCACCACATGATCCCCGATTTGTTAGGAAAATTTTTGGTCGTTATAAGCTACATTTCCCAAGTAAAATGTAGTCCATAGCTGTGAAAGCTCATACGGCTTAAATAGACATCTTATTCCTTTGGTGGATAAAGGAGTTTGTTACGTGACCTGAGCTAAAAATACTGTACTTCTTCATGATGTGATATAGACGGTCTGGATACCTTTATTATATGAGGTCGCACGTGGATGACCTAAACACTTTTAACTGAACTGGATGTGCAACTGGATGTAGGGTGAGAGACATCGTTATTAGACCCTTGCTGAAAACGAGTTATGGAGATAGCCTTTCACTCATTTTCGCCATTATTTGTGGTATCATAATAGAAAAACATTGTAAGACTCCGCTGCCGGTTTCTTTTCATACACAACTCATTAGAACCAATAATGTATAACGTCAAGCTATACATGGTCCGAAGTTTCTCTTTCCTCTAAATATAGACTAATGCTTAGCATAGACCATTTCAACCAAAACCACCCCTAAATATATTCCACCGGAGGAACCAAGAAACGTGGACTGCAAACGCCCTGGTCTGGTCTCCATCTAATCAGAACCGTACATGAGTGTAGCTGTTCACCCTTCTTCACAAGCAAATGGTTGCTTATGGATAAAATATTTTACATACCAACATGCTCATATTCAATACAATTACATATATATTTAGAGAGAGAGAGAGAGAGAGAGAGAGAGAGAAGGGTCTTCTGTATAGGAAGATTTAGAGGGTTTCTGTTTCTGGGTTTGTTGTGGTTTTGATAGATTTTGTCCTTTTGGTCATTCAATACAGAGTTTATAGCTTATAATTGAGGTGGATGGGTCAATGTGTTTCTAGGCATGCAAAAGATAGAGAAAGGTGGGATGGTTCCAATGCCTCGGAGAAGCATGGTTGTTTGGCCATGGTTAAAGAGAAACGGTCCAAATTTTACATTGCCAAGAGATGTGTTATCATGCTAATTTTTTGGCACAAACACAGCAAGATTTGATCCTCCTTTTTTCTTATTCAGTATATTTTTCATTTTAGTTGATCATGGATATGCAAATTGCAGTTGTTTTCACAGATTCGGGACCACAAGTGATATATAGCAAGAGTTTGTTTGTACAAACGATGCATTGCAGCTTGAATCTAGAAATTAATCTCCTCCAAAACAGAGTAAATTTATCTTCCACTAAATAGCGTTGCTCATAGGCTTTTTGCCTTTGTATTGGTTGCAATTTCTTTGTTTTTTTGTAATTTTTACCATTAGATTTTCTCTTATTTCATTTTTTTTTTTAAGTTTTGTTGAGGATGTTTGAGAGGATATGTTGTAGCTAGATAATTTGTAACGGTACGTGAAGGTTCAAAGTTTCAATTATCAGACAATTTCATGACATTTGTCGATGTGGGTTACAGTTATAGCTTAGCACATTCTTGTTGGGAGTAATGTGTATGTTTGTGTGTGTTAAGATGCAAGTATAAACCTTTTTCATGTGAATGTTCACGACCATATGTATGTTTAATTCATAATAATAACAACATAGGATCTGTATGCTTGTGATGATGGCATTGCATTATGTTTGTGCAAACATACTCATTAACTATATGATATTTCTTGGGAGTTTTTCGAAAGTTGTTTAATCGATAGAGCATTTTTTTTTCCTTTAACTGTCAAGAAAAAAGAGAGTGGAAGAGCTCTTGGAATGGAGCTTCCTCCATTTCTCCTACTTTTCATAAGCTTTGGTTTTAGGACTGGATTGTACGTAGCAATTAGTGCGTCAACATGTGTATGTGCCAAATATATCAACTATAAAGTGAATTGTGATCACTAGACCATGAAACAAACTTATGCTATTCCTTAATAGTTAACCAGACATCGTACATGACATTGCGATATGCTCAATGTAGGTGCAAAATAGAGCTATTAATAAGATAAAAGAAAAGCCATTGATTCAATAACCCATGTACATGATAATTACGGCACAAATCGTATTGAAATGAGGTGCTTATCTTGCATCCAAACTTGTGGGCAGTCTCATCTATATCATCTCTTCAACGTGTATTCCTAGGCTAATTCATACTAAGAATTGAACTTACAGGTACAGATGTACTGCAGACATGAGTCCATGCTGGTCATCAAAGCAATTGGCCAGCGGTCATGCTAATGTGAGTTGAGTTTTCCATCAGACCAGTTTGGGGTGGCTGGGAAACTGTTTCATCAGCTTGATGAGCTCATAAGTCCTTGTGTCTCGACCAGAATAAAGGCAAAGGTCCAGTGGGGTTAAACCATCCTGGAAGAAGCAAATATTTAATTAACGCTTCGTGCATATAAGGTAACACAGTGCAACTCATCACTTCTTGCAATTTATATAGATCAATCACATTGAAACACAGGCAAAATTAGGATTGCAAAGTTAAAGATTACGGAAGTATTGCCTCTCAATTCCAGAAAAATCGATAAAAATAATTTCTGATCAAAGAAATAAAATGGACAATGTTCAGATATTGCTGTCCAAAAATTTCTGTGGGCACAAATTCTGTACAATTATCTAGTCGAACATTTTTTTTTTGAAAGGATTCCTAGGTATAGCAGCATGGCACCGCTGTTATTGTTCCCCAAATCCTATCCCGAGACGATTACAATCAAATGGAGATAGTATAATTGTTCATAATTGTACACCTTGTCTGCCATGTTCACAAAGGAAGACAACTGTGAACGCAAACTAACAATCTTGAACAACAAAATTGACAGTAGTTTACCCGGTTTTTTAAGGTCTTATCAGCTCCCTTGATTAACAAAAGCCTCACAATATCTGTTCTGCGGGATTGAACAGCTACATGTAATGGCGTCCACCCATCCTAAAGAGGGCAAATACAATGGCATGCCAATTAAATCACATAAATCAGACAAAGAAGCATAAAAAGCAAAGGGACTAATTAGCTATACATTGTCCGCGAGGTTTATGTCAACATTATACAACAGAAGAATTTTTATCATCTGACTTGATGCCGTGTGGACAGCATAGTGCATCAAGGTAGCCCCTTCCTGTTGTTGGCAAAAAAAAATAAAATTTGAAAATTAGAGTAAGAAGTGAAAATACCAATGGTGATACCAACATTCCAATTAACTGAGCAGTGGAACTTGAATAAGTGCTTATATTTGAGTGCAGAAGTTAAAATCAGCTTTATAGCCAAATATAAGCCTCCCAGAGCTGATAAAAAAAGATACTCCAAAACAAGAATATTATGTTTGCTTAGGTATAGCATGGAAGGACTAAAGAACAGAAAGCTTCCACTTTAATCGAGGAGCGACTACTGTTTGAAGAGTGATTCATTTTGCTGAAGATAATGAAGACACATGCACCCCAGTCACATAAATACAATAACTAAAAACCGGCAAAGTTTTCAGAAGCAGATTCCAACTTCAGCTACTGAATAAAAAAAAAATTGACGATGGCTTTTATGGTTGTGCCTTACCAATATCCATGCTAGCACCTAGAATGTGCCTATGCATAAATTGAAACAAAAGAGTATACAAGATGATAGCTAATCCTCGTATCAAGGAAAAATAAAACAAAAACGAAAACGAGTTGTGATATTCACGATTAACATCGAAAAGGATTCGGTAAAATCCTGCTCACCTTATCGCGAACAAATGGATTTGCCGATTCTCTCAAAAGATAATTAAAAATAGCATGCTTTTTGCAAAGAATTGCTTTGTGAAGTGCAGTCAATCCTTCCTGTGAATAAATTGACAAATCAAAGCACAGACCAACCATTATAAAGCAATGCATTTTCGATATCCAAAAAATGAAAAAAGAAAACATGAAAATGAGAAATAACAATAATTGCAAAGGCATAATATACAAAAAGGCAATAGGAATTGCATTAATCATCCAATATACCTTGTCTGGGACATTGACATCACTGCAGTGCTTCAACAAAACATTGACAAGGTAAAATTCTCCAGATGCAGCAAGAGTGTGCAAAGGTTGCCATTTGCCCTAAATGATTTTGACAAACTGCTGTCAATAAACAGAAAAGCTCGTGTTCATTTGTCAACTGGAGTACCAGCCTACGTGTAATTAAAATATTAGGAACAAACGATTCTGCATGAGGAAAATATTAAGAAACGAAGTCATGTGCGAACAAAAGGTAAAAAAAACATTACTCCATATCAAACACAGGCCACACCACTGTTCAATTAGAAAGGATGCTGGTTAAGAACTGAAAAATAGTCCCTTGATCAAATTATGGCAATTGTCATTGTCATTATCCTTTCTATAAAATAACGTATAGTAATAATTACTATGCCATACTAAAACACTGCAAGCATAAATAGCTTTTTAATTGTACCCTATGGTATCTGAGAATCCAGTCATTTAACCCAAATCAAAGATTGCATAACTAATTATGCCGGATCAGCTATACAAAATACAAACTAACCATAAGACCACGAATAAAAGAAAGGACAACAATTACCGCTGTTCAAAGATCATGGGAGACTTACAGAGGTGGCAGCAGCAAGATCAGGTATCCGCCTATTCAATAAAGTTTTTTCGTCCTTTGTAAACAACTTACGAGGACCTATTCATGTAAGCATAACATGATAAGATATTGATAGGCAAAATTCAAGATCATTTCTAAATAGATAAACAAACATACCAACTTACATTACTAAAGAGATCTGTATGAGATGCGGGGCTATAGTTCCGCAAAGCAAGGATGATTAAAAGATAAAGGCATGAACATCATGAAATAAATCATAACTTATGTGCAAAAAGATATAAAACCCAACAAGTTACTAACTTTACTTCAGCCCAGCCCTAGTTCAGTGAGTCTTGGCTTTGATATATCTAACCTTCAAAATGTTTAGACAAGACAGTGGGACTTTCAAATGAGAAAAGGTATAAACAAGTTCATATTGGAAGATTAGAAATCTAGCAAGCAAAAAATTAAAGCAAGGCAGAAATATGTTTTTTATTTAATCTCACCAAATTCAAGACCGAGTTCCTCCAAAAGTTTGATCTACAAGGAACGATAGATGCAAAAAACATCAGACTACCACGTTTTTGTGGGTAGCATTTGGACTAATGAGTGGCGATCTTGATGCTGTGGCTCCAAACCGTGAAATCTAAACTCCAATGTTTTAGCGAATCTTCTAATTTATATAACGTGGGTTTCACAGAGCTATTATCATAGAATGAAGTTTAAGTCTAACGTCCATGGATTTAGAACGGGAGCCAAGAGGTTGCACCAAAACCATCTCTGGATGTAAATCGAGGTTTGACAGAAAGTATACATAGTTTAAGAACATTTTATAGATGACAACGCAGCAAGCGCAAATCACAATAGGGAAAACTTGTGAAAAAAAGTCCGCAATGAAAACAGGCACTGTCTCAAGTGAAGGATTTTTTTTAAGAAAATAAGAAATATTTTATATGTTAAGTTATATCTGAGAGTCACCACCGCTATGGATGCATGAAGGCATACGAGGCTGCCACCAAAAACAAATTAGAAGAAAGAACAGGACCAGCACATGAGATGAAAATCTAGTAAACCAATTAAGAATATATGAATACTAGATCAAAAATTTATGTTCGCATAATCGGCAGAGAGAAATTTAATTTAGTAATTTCCATTCGACCAACAGTCAATATGAAAATAAATCCCAAAGAAGCTGCCAACCCTCATTTCCTGCTTGTTTAATTCATTCGACAACTAGGGTATTTATTTCTCAATTGTCTAAAGATCATCAATGATAACATGAAAATGAGAAAACACCAAATTTTCAACATTCATAGCAGCAATCATACCTTCTGATTTCTGGGCAGTACTAGGATCATAATTCCCACTACTGAAAAACTCTGAAATGTCATCCAAAGTACCACCATACACCGCCAGCCTTGGATTCCTCGGTGCCACTCTACTATTCGAAACTGAGCTACCCACTTCACCATCCCTCAACTCCCCAATACGCTTTGAATGATTCACATCCCCTCCACCGCAAGAAAATTTGGATTATCTAGAACAACGGGGTTCAATTGGGCCAAATTATCATCCCTACGCTTAACATACTCCTCCAAACTCACATTCCCTATAGGCCTCAACCCTTGCTTCCTCTTCTCTACCCTACTACCAAACTCCAATTGCTGCGCAATTTTTCGCCTTTCTTTCTTCGTAATGTTGATCGCCGCCTGAGCTTCTTTCCAGTTCTCTGGAACCAAATTCTCAGGCTCAACTTCAATTTTAGATTTTCGGTTTTGGGGTTTATCAATACTGGGTTCGAATGTTTCTTTGAGAAATGGGTCTTCAAAAATGCCTTCTTCGAAGACGAGGCAATCACCGATGATATGTTCTTCTTCTTCTTCTTCTTCATGGTCAGTGTACTGTTGGGGTTGGGGAGTGAATTTAAAAGAGGAAGAGAGAGTTGTGAAGACTTTTCGTGAGAAAATTAGGGTTTTGGGAGGAGTGAGAACATGTTGGGATGAGAGAGAGAAAGGGGAGGTGGGGAAGAGAGATAGTAGTTTGGGGGTTTGGGGATTGAGTAGAGTAGTAGGTGGTGACATAGTCAGTCCTCTGTTTCTGCAGAGCGAGAACTGAGAAGAAGAAAAGGTGGTGATTGGGAGCTTTTATCTTGTAAAAGGCCAGTTAATGGTACTTGGGCCGTCAGTTTACTGAAAAGAAGCCCATTATGGTAGTCCAGGCCCATTCTAAATAAGCACCGAACAAGAATCTATTTTTTAAGTCAATTTTTTAAATTCACGTAATATCCCTCTTTTATAGTTGATTTAAGCTGGCATCAGCTCAAGCCCAGACTCGCCTTTGAATTATAATGACTAATGAGCCTCAAGAAGGAATTAAGAGTGATAATTTTTGACACGACACAACATCACGACTTTAATTTAGGTACAAAACTAATGAATTTGGATTGATTTTTTTTATAAATAAATTCAAAAATAGCAAGACATACTAACACCAATAATAAACAGGTTATCTTGCAATCAAATAGGAATAACTCAAAATTAAAACGAGTATCATGTTTAACTAATATAATTACTATAGTATGAATAAAATGCCAGATTGCTATCATTTTTTGCTAAGTATTTACTTATATACTTGTAAAATAATGGATTTTTTTTCTTGTTTGTACTATTATATAGATTTGGTGAATATTTAGCTTATAGAAAAATTGGGTTTGGTTTGAGAGATAATAGGGTCCCAATTTTAAATTTTTATTCACAAGTTATATAGTCAATCCAAAACAAATCTTTATTCACTATTTTTTATAAACAGGCCTGGTTAGTTTGAGAACATTTGACATGAATAAATAAATGAAATGAGTTAAAATCAACTAATACCCGACATAAATATGAACTTATAGGACTCGAGAGAACACGATTCGACACAGTTGCCACTTCTAAGCTCTGGTGGGTGAATTCAAATCCCCTTGGTAATACACTACCAGAATATTGATGAAAAATCAATTTATAGAGAATAAGTGATCTGAAATCGACAATACAAGGTACACAAGAAGGAATCGGAATGCTGGGCGGTGATACTGTAAGTAGAAGATTAAATAGTGAGAGGGTTGGCCTAATTGTGTAAACCTTCGTGAAGAACTATAAACAGATGCTTAGTCTCTCATTCAAGCAGCTATCCACTTGAGAGGCTCCATTGGACAAAGATCTTGCGTTCCAAAATAAAAACGACCTTTCCTAGCAATCAAGCAAAGCAAAAATCAGATGCTGGACTTGGAGCGATGGCCAATTCTCATACATGTTAGCGAGAAGTCACGAATTTGAGTCCAAAACCAGTCTTTTCATAATGGAATAAGACTGTCTACCACTTAGTTTTATCGGATCTCTAACATGAAAAATATGATGCAAACATCGAATTTGTAAGCAGATACAATTGGGAGTTCCTTGGTACATTTTGAGGATTTGTAAATGACAAATACAGTGCACACTGTTTGTTTTTTTGCAGTCTTTAGTTGAACCTTGTACATTGTTACATACATATGGCGACTAGGTATAAAAAAAATATAGTCCAAGTCCATGGTGCAGCTAAAGCCTAGATGGGAGGCTGAAGAGTATAGCTTGATTACATGATCCGATTCCATTCTCAAGTGAAAACTTTCAATATCTCCAACAACCAGAATTCTACAATACAGACCAACCCGATACCACAGTACTCGTGTCTGCAGACGAAGGCAGCCAGCCATCCATTCAGACAAATCCAAAGCCAAGGGCTTATTGCCCACAATCACAGGCGGAGAAGATCCTACAGGCTTATACTCTGAACCAGAATGGCTTGAGCTGCACCGTGGCTCAGATGAGAACTGATATCATATGGGCTTCGCACCCTAATTGCCAAAATCCACTGAATTTTTTAGGTTTGATTGCAAAGGAATCCACGATAAATGAAATAACCCAGATCATCTGAGGCTTGTTTGGGTGAAGAATCACACATAGCATTTGGCGTATATCAAATAATCTAAAGGTGGAAAGTGAGTTTCTAAGGGTCAATGATCTAAAGAGTCGAACAATCCTCGTTCAGTCCAAAACACCACCACAATTCACATAGCAATAGAAAAGCCCACCATTAATTGTTTCAATTCACAAACTATAGTTGCACCTCAAGTGCAGAGCACAATACTGTAAAAGAGATGGGTGGAAAGAAAATAGCAGCCAACATATGTCAAACTAACTGAAACGAAGAACTGCCCAGAGTCTAGTACAAAAGTAGGTCTTCACAAATTGTTTACCGTCACTCAAACAAGGGATACCTAAAAAGTTTTACCTAGAGCCACGAGCATAGTTCCTTTCGGGGCTATGATAAGGAGAATATGACCTGGACCGATCCCTTCTTGACCTTCCACCGTAGGGTGAATGCCTAGGAGAGTACTCACGACCACCCCGAAAGGGTGAGCGCCTGGGAGATTTACGGTATCCATAGTCATCGCGACTAGAGCCACCATGATACCTACCACGATCGCCACGGTCACCACGATAGCCTTTCACCAAAGAAAAATAGTATATAATAAGAACTACTAGATAATGTGTAATAAAAAAGGATTAGGAAATAATAAATATGTCAAAACTTACCCTGGTCCCTTGTGCTTTTCAGCCCGAGATAGTGACCAGGTGTGGGAGTTCTTGCGCGTTTCCTCCGGGACTGAGAAATATATAAATGACCTCAATTTATGAATTTAAAACAGAAGGGCTTCACAAAGATGCAGGCATTGCAGCAATACGGATAAAAATATCTGACTATACAACATTAATAGCATTCTACAGAAGAACTGAGTTGTCCATAGAAACTAAAACAATAACAAACTAGACGCGAGGGAAAGGAATGATTACCATTTAAAACATCCACGCACACATCACTAGTACATATCAAATTTATGCCATAAATGATTTGATTAAAAGAATAATAACAAAAATAATGCCAGGTATGAGATACCATAAAAGCCTGATTAGAATGAAGACAATGACCGTTGATTAGTTGAGAGTTGAAACTAATTGCTGAGGTTGTATGGTTGTTGGGAATATAGTTGCTATGTTTAGTTGATCAGATGCATGTGAAAAGCTGTTTTAGCTGGCCATTGATCAGGCTGTTTGACTTAAGTGTTGCAATGGATGAACTCATCATCTTTGATTGCTGCAAACAAAGCTGACGCAATGTCTTCTGAATATAACCAGAAAACCTCCAAGTCAAGAAGAAAGAAAACTACTCAAATATGTCATATTGTTCACCAACAAAGGTACATGAAACTTACCCTCTCCACAGTTATGTATCGCCCTTCGAGAACTGACTGATTAAGATATTTAATGCAACGCTCAGCATCTTGAAGACTATCCATCGTTATGAAAGCAAAACCCCGAGAGATTCGTGAGCGGGGCTCCACAACCAGGAAAACTGAAGCAACCTAGAGGGAAAAATAAAACCAGGCCATTACTGATAGAAAACACAAATTGTGAATGCAATGTAGATCCGTCAAAGCATAATTGAAAGCTTAGCATAATTCCAGTACAGGGGACAAGAAAATCCAACTCTTGGTGGACAAATTCACACAAGGGGACAGACAATGGATTCTGTGTATGTATGCAGGAAGTCATCTTCTGGAAATTAAAACGACAACCTGATTTACACATCTAGCACCATTTAGAAAAACAAAAAATCACTTTAACATATACAGCATCAAAATCATCTTATACATGTCCAATCATCACCAAAGATACAAACTACTTCATGATTTTCACCAAAAAACAGTCCACATGCATTTTTTAAAGAAACCAACCTTTCCTTCCTTGGAGAAATGGTCTTCAAGATCTCTTTCTGTGACCCTCGTAGATAGGCCAGTCACATAAAGTGTAGTTCCAGGATTTTCAACTTCATTCCTGCGAAATTGGTCAATGGTTGAGAAAGAGTCCTGAAGACACCAACCATCCATGAGACATGGATGTGGCTTCCACACCTTAAAAGTGCAGTTATAACAAGATGCCCATACTAATGGAAGAAGATGGAAGTCATAAACAAACCTGCCACGACTCCTGGACCTTGATCTGCCCCGAAAGCCGGTCCTCGGCCTAGACCAGGATCTAGATCTGGACCTCAACCTTGACCTTGACCGCGATCTGGACCTGGATTGGGCTCCCAAAGGTGAAGGTGACCGTGAGTACCTGATATATAAGGGGCATAGAACATCGAGATTGAAAGTGGAAGACAAAATAAGTTGAGATTTCAATAATTTGAACCAAGTACTAGTCACTCAAGACAACAGTTGAATTGTTTGTTCAGATTTTACACTTAACATTAGAACAAAAATAAACCATATTGAGTAGGAGGCAGCATAAGAAGAGGTCCCACCAAGGATAAGAGTTTTTTGAGTCTCAAAGTAGTTCCTCTATGCAAACAAACCATATAAGTCAGAGCATTCAACTTTGAAACCACGCACTAATTGAAATGGGAACCAAAGACATCACAACCAATGAGGCCTAAGAGCTATTTGGGAAGTTTAATCTCAAACTCAAAGCTAAAGTTTACTTTGATACTGACACCTGAAAATTGGGTGTGAATTTGTAATTAGCTAAAACAATTAACCTAAATCATATAGAGCAGGAACAGGAGCAGGAGCGCAGAAGTGGAAAAATTCAAGCGCAAAAGTGGAAAAATTCAAAAAAATATATATATATTAGAGCGGGAGCGCCATACTATATGCATACATACATCTTTATATATATAAAAGTTAGTAAAAATATAATCTAAAAATTAAATTTCATACATAAATATTTGATAAATTGCTTAAATTTTGTTAACTGTTAATTTGACTTTTGAATCAAAACAATATCGTGAGTGAGTGATTAAATAGAACACCTTTAGAAGACATTATTATGCCTAGGCACCTATCCCACATCGGAAAGGAAGGAAACAATGGCAGTCAAACAAGGCCGTAAAAAAGGGTCGGATGTTACTTGGATCATGAATTGATTTGGTATGTGGTATAGGTAAGGGTACAACATATCTTCCGATATGCGGTGCAATGAGAGTATGATTAGTTAGTACGTTGTTTTGGGTCGTGGTTCGTTTTCTATAGGATTGTTTTCTCTAGTATATGAGAATATATATATTGTACATTACAAGCACATCGTTTACTAATATTTATTTTAGAGTTGAAGTTACAATTTAGGGTCGAGAATTTATGCAATCTACATCGCCAACACACCCTGTTTCGATTCGTACGACCCCGACTCGTGGAACAATATGATCCCAATATTTATGGGTTAGAACACGTGCTTCATTAGTGCCTACACGTGGGGCCTCAACTACAAAAAGTTAGTAGAGGTGTTGCCTTAGGCCAAGTTTTAGTTTAAATTTGAATTTATGATTTTTTTATGAATTTGTGAATTTAATTTTTTGTGAGAATTTGTCACGAATTCACTCTTAAAACGCGAATTCACGAGTAGAGCAATAGAGCGCGTGAATTCGCGTGTCTAGTTTTAGACGAATAATGTGACTCAACAACTAACTCTTATAAATCTCAACTCAAAAATTTACACAACTTGCCGTTCAAATGCAACAACCCAATTTGAGTCTCATAATACGTCTCAAATTGGCCACGCTCTATCGCTACGCACATGAATTCACGCTTTGAGAGTGAATTCATCCTAAATTCATGCCCTCACTAAACCAAATTTGCACATTGGGAGCAGCACATACAAAGCAACAGGATTGGTGGAGCAAAAAGAAAAAGACACTAGGTTAGATCGTAAGACCCTCTGATACCATGTAAAGGTTTGAGAATTTTCCTTAATTCTTATTCTTCTCACAAGAGGTATATATACACTTTACAAAAGTATATAGAAAGAAAGCTACAATTGTCTACCTAATATTTGAGGAAAGAGATATATCTACACTATAACAATCCGTCTCTTTAGTGTGAACATAATATTTTATACATTATCTTTAAACTGTAATTAGGTAGACAATTGTAACTTTCCTTCTATTATTTGTTAAATTGCCCCTTTAGTGTGAACACAGTATTTTATACATTATTATTAGGTTGTAATTAGGTAGACAATTGTAGCTTTCTTTCTATATACTTTTGTAAAATATATATATACTTCTTGGGAAAAGAAGAAAAAGACAAAAAAAAAAAAAAAGGCTCTTAGGTTAGGCCGTGAGACCCTCTGATACCATGTAAAGGTCTGAGAATTTTCCTTAATTCTTATTCTTCTCACAAAAGGTATATATACACTTTACAAAAGTATATAGAAGAAAAGCTACAATTGTCTCCCTAATTACAATCTAACAAAAATGTATAAAATATTGTGTTCACACTAAAGGGACGGTTTACCACATTCAAAATATATTCATGAATTTAAAAATTAGACTCTACCAGTTCACAAGCCCAAGGCTTCACACTTTGCTAACAAAAGTGTAAAAGAGCACGTGATTACCTCTATTGGCTTTCAAGCCAAGTCCACACATAGGCGTTGAAAAACATATAGTTGAGGAGAAGAGAGACCACTGACCCCCTTTTATAGGATTATTTAACTGCCACTTCCTCGTTCATTTCTAATGTGGCATAAAAGATATCTTCCAAAAGTGTTTTGTTTAATCAATCACTATATTGATTCCATGTGGAATTTAAAGTCCAAATCAATAATTAACACGATTCAAATAATTTATCGAATACTTGTGTATAAAATTTAATTTTTTGAATTGCATTTTTATTAACTCTTATATTTGCAAACATGTATGTATACTTATAATATGGTGTTCTCAAGGGGCTCCTTTTTTAAGATTTTATTTTTATTTTTCGTTTCTAAGCCCTTGCTCTCGCTCCCGCTCTTGCTCTATGTGGTCTAGAGCCCAACTCCACCCAGAGAGAGAGAGAGAGGGGGGGGGGTAGTTGAACTTCTGACCAGCATAGTCACAACTATTAGCCAAGAAAATCAACCATAAACAACTAGAGGGTTCAATATTTCAAACTTCTCGATCTCTACCATGAAACTACACTTCAAAAAATTCCCAAATTAGACGTAAAAGGGTTTGAACTCTACCAACCTACTACTCTTCAGCATTCCATGAATTCTTAACTTTTTACACCAAAAATGAGTTAGTTAATAACAATGTTTTGCCTCCATAATTCTTTGTAACATTTAAAACTCCAATATCTTTAATATCGATCTCACCTGTCTGCAATATTTTCGTAAAATTGTACCTCCTACCCCAAAATTAATACTTTAAACATGGTCCACAGAACTACTTTCCAGTCTAAAATGAAGAATCAGATGTGCTACTACCCTAAAAAAAGCCCATCAACCATTTTTATAGCACATTATGTAATATCGAGGTAGGGTAAAACTGTCAACTTCATAACTCCAATTGATCACACTTGTTCACTTCTATCTTACACGATTTTGCATGTGAACCAGTATATGAAAGCCAAGAAATTCTGTTAGACCAATAGTACCATATCCAATAAGAATCCCTTGTTCAAATAATCTCGAATTTAAGCTTTATCAGCGCATCTATCGGTACTTCCTTAAGAAACTAAGACTTACGCAGGTTCATTCGCTAACACATTCAAAAAAATCTAAAATTTTCCCATTTAAAAGGGGGGAAAAAAAAGAACATCACTAATGACATGGTGAAATACGAAGTTCGATGTTTTCTCCCACACAGATACCCAATATCAACACACAATATTTTACAAATAGAACACAAATAATGCATAAAACCACCCGCAGAAATGTAAAAATCAGATGCAAGAAGAAAAACGTCTATTACTCGTAACAGCGTTAGGGTTTACCTTTTGCGAGGCGAATCAGCCTGCGGAGGATCAGAAGGGATTAGTAATCAATAAAGAAAATCACACATATTAGACTTAATCACACACACACACACACACGAGAGAGATAGAGAGCTTGCCATCTTCTCTCAAACGAGGGGAAGCGGAGAACCCTAAATCGCAAGACCGAAAGTGGAATTAGGGTTTTGCTGAATGAGCTTTTACTTTCTTCAGTTCTGGTGGAGGATATGATTTGTTAATAAATAGAGGGAAAAATAATTAAATATCGGTGCATAAAGAAAGACTATTGGGCCGGTCCGTGTATTGGGCTTTTTGTATCCCGATCCATACTATACCACTTCCATAAGAGATGGGCTCCGACTCCGGACTCCGATGGAGTCGGATATGTTCGATCTCCGACTGGCTGGATGGGAAGATTTTCCACCGACTCAAATCTATTACTCCTTCCGTTCCTAAATATCTATCGTTTAAGATTTTTGCACAGAAATTAAAGAAGTTATTAAATAACTGTAATATGAGTAAAAAATAATTACACAAGACTACAATACCCTTATTCAATACGTATTGGGAAGGAAAAGAATATGAAAGACATTTAGTCTCTACCTAATTTAATACATTGAAAAGTTAAGGGTAAATTTAAAAGAAAAAATATTAATTATGCTTTGATTTCATTAAACGACAGATATTATGGAACAAAAAAAATTATGTAAAATGACAGATATTTAAGAACGGAGGAAGCATAACTTTGCCTCTGATTTTGAACAGAGTCTGAGTTTTCCCTCCAACTCCAACAAAAGCGGAGACGGAGACATCGAAATCATAATTGAAATTAGATTTTCAATTTTTTATATGTCCCTAATTTTCAATATTAATTATGATTTAGACGGTTTGACAGTAATAAATGGACACGTGTGCAAGTACAACCATTAAGAAGTGTTAAAGACGTTTGAAAAAAGCGTCAAAGAGTAATGACAAGAAGGACAGAGTACGTTCCCAAAGCTTAGCATTAAAAGAGATCTGACAACTCATTAATAGAGTCTTAAGTGACTATAACAGAGTCGTTAATGAGGTGTCCAGATCCTCAAATAATGTAAAAACAATCATCATTATAAGACATTATTGGTCATCATGCCGACTTGTAGGCCTTGGTAAACCCTGATGGTGTTTATTCTCGAGTAGTAAACACTCGGGGTGGAGGTGTCAAGTACAAAAAAGGGTATTTAATGACCGAGGGATGGGCCATAAATGCTCAGTGATTCCCGAGCAAAGGTTCACTTGTCCGAGAAGACTAATCATCAGATGATTTGATGGGATGACACTCATAATACTGGAATATGAGTGCAGGCAATTAAATTATTAGATGTGACCCAAGGACATTGCCATCATTACAAACCTAAGTATAAATACCTCTCAAGAATCTGAACTAAGGTATGTAATCTGAAAAAGAAAATATACTGTGCTCGTAACTCTTATGCTGGCTGACATGAGTTTTAAAGGAGATTAGCTAAGTATACGCCCAACTCCCTTTTCTAATCTTTCGTCTCAAAATCATTGCTCAGGATCATTCCACGCATTGTTATGTCAATTCATTGCAGAAATTCACTCGTACACTAACTATTCTCATAACTTTTAATTTAGAGTTTTGATTTTCAAGTTTCAACATGAATTTAGTTTTTGTTTTCTTTTATAAGATAATTAGCTGCGTTTTGTAACGTTTTTATATTTAATTTTTTTTATAAAAAAATAGAACTAAGTATTATTTTTTTTATGATAAAAATTAAAAATATAGTCCTTTATATTTAAAAATTTATAAAAATAAAAATAAAAATTATGTTTAGTATTTTACCAAAAATTCACCGCCGAATCCACTAACCACCCAAAACTACCGCCGAAACCCACCCCCACTGACCACCCAACCCCGCCACCGAAACCTACCCCCACAACCACTGAAACCCTACGCACAACTACCGAAATCTACCTCCACCACCACCACCCACCACCGAAACCACAACCACCTAAATCCACCAGCGTCTCTCCGTATATCTTCAAGTCTCTGTATACCTTCAAAACACATCAAACTCGCTTTTGCAAGGTGTTGGGAAGACTTCCAGAAAGCAAATTCTCACTCAAATCAATTGACCTTAATAGCAAAAAACCTCCGATTCCATTCGGAACCTGACCCGTAAATTGATTCTTCCGCAAGTTTATTGCTCTCAAATTATTCAAACCTTCAATGCCCTCAGGTAAGAAGCCCAACAAATCAAGCGATCTAAGACCACACAATGACCAGATCCTAGCAGGTAAGAAACTTAAAAACTGATTGGAGGAAAAGTTAACTGAAGCAAGAGTTGCACATGAGCTCAGCGTCTCTCTCTCTCTCTCTCTCTCATCTTGATTTTATTAGTAATTCTATCAATAAAATCTATTCTCTACAAAACATAACCAGTGTTGTCCTCCACTAAAACCCTAATAGAAATCCCACTATTTTGATGTTGCACAAATTCAAGAGGCCTGGCCCCAATCAAATCCCTAACCACAGCAGAGGAACTACACCCTCGAAACCCACCCCCAATCCAACCCCCAACATCGAAACCCACAACCCACCCCCACCACCACAACCACCGAAAACCCACTACCCACGCCTGAAAAACTACCCAGCAAAATCCACCACCCAACCCCAAAAACCCACCATCATAGAAGGGCGAGAGAGAGAGAGAGACAGAGAGTGAGTCGTGAGAAACCAGAGACCTGAAAAAATGGAGTGAAATGAAGATGGAGTGACCCCAGAGATGGAGTAATAGCTTCTTGGCGATTGGCGATGGCGATGGCGATGATGATGGCTTCGTCTTCGTCTTCGTCTTCGTCTTTGTAGTTGGCAGAGAGAGAGAGAGAGAGACGACAGGGCATCGAGAGACACGGAGAGGGAGCACACATAGAGATGGGGTGAAACCTTAAAGGAGATTACCTTTTATACCCCATCAAAAAAATCAATTTTTTGTTGCTAAGGAGGATCGAAGCTAAGTCCTCATTAAGCTTTGCGCGCGTGTTTTTTTTGGATGTTTTAAAAAACATCAAAAATTTTGGATTTAGTTTGTTTTTAAAATGGAGATGTTTAAAAAACACAAAAACATTCACCAAACATACTTTTCTTTTTTTAGCCATAAAAATAAAAAAAAAACGAAAAAAAAAAAAAACAGAAACGGGTGGTTATCAAACGCCACCTAATATGTCCCCATGCAAAACATGTTTTTTTAATCACGGTTAAAAAAGTTAAATATAAATGGGTTGAATTTTGTGATTAAAAATTTAAAATTTAAGTCATAATATAACAGTCGAATTTAAAAGAAGTAGATCTCAGTCTTTGTTTTGTATAAATAAGACTATGTGTTTTATAATAATAAATATAGCATATTAGCCGAGACACCAATATTGCAGCACTCTACAAGCCCCTTTGTCCATATGAACCAAGAATAAGAAAACACTATCCGATATCTAAACTATTTCAAAATTATGATGGAAGTGGGTAATAATGGATCAGAAGGCGGACGAAGGTGGTCCTTCTCCAACATTGGTTCAAAAAATTGGAAAGTCCCTTAAAATAATTTAAATTCTTGTATTCCTTGCTATAAATTAGTTAGATCAACAATTACCTTCTTCGACATTGAAATCAATTATCTCTCTGACTTGAAAAAGATAAAAAAATCTATTGAATAGATTAAAATAGTGTACCTTAATCACATAAAATCGATTCTTTTGACTAAAATAGTATACCTTAATCACATAAAATCGATTCTTTCGATCAAACATTTTTACTTTTGTTGAATAAAAACTCAACACCACTACATTGCACTCGAACAGTTGTGGAGTCACCAACTTCCGTGCGATGGTATGGATTTATTCTTCGTGGGTTGGTCGAGTTCATTTAAGAATTATCCCTTGGTTTGATACAATCAGTTCATAATTGTTACAAGTCATTGAAAATTTGCAGACCAAGATTACATCCACCTCAGTAACAGTAATACGCCATGTATCAATCTAAAAACTATATATATATATATTGTCTTTCCCTTATCTTTTTACAGTTCCACACTATCGGCTTCTTCTTTAACGCAACTCATCAAAATCTTATCTTAACTTCAACTACAACTACGTTAGCAGTCTCTTATGGACACAAAAATGGGCGGAGATTATGTTGTCAGAAGGTCGGGAACAGCGGGGTATGGACTTCCGAGTACGTAACCTCCAACATCAGGGAATTCTTCATGTCCAGGCAAAGGACCCACGTCACCATCAGCATCTACCTGCACAGGGTACTTGAGAAGATGACCCTGTAATGTTGTAAAATTCTCATCTTTGTATCTTTTCCAATTATCTTCAGCTACCTCATTCACTCTCTTCACACACTTCAGGGTCTCTGGCTCCTTGAAGCAATCCTCTAAAGCCCCAAGCTGCTCAGCCCACAGTGCCATTCTATAACCATAGATCTGCAAAGTCAATTGGATCATGTGATCATGTCAACTAGAACAACAGAACTCAATGCAAGCATTGTTTGCTTAAATACACACACACACACACAAAAACGTAATTTGGACTTGTTGAGATTTTTATTCACATAGCCATAAATGCACAGGCAATACAAAATAAAGCAATAAAAAGTATTATAAAAAACAGGTATACATCAACCTCACCTATTTTAAGTGAAATATCTATCAATTACTATTAATAGAGGGAGAGAGGGGGTTTTTGTGTCCGCCATTAATGCAAAAACTTATTTGAACTAAGGGAGAGTAGAAAATAACAACTTTTGTTGGGTTTTCACATGAAATATCTATAATACCCTGCTTTCTTCCCCTCTTAACCACCCATTACCCCTTCTCCAACCGTGCTCAACCCCCCTGTAGTCATTATAGGTTTATTTCTCATGTTCTCTCCCACTCCCACATCTCTTTCTCCCTCTCTATATCACTTCTTTGCAATTGCGCAAACGGGTGGCTATGCACAAGAGGTGCACCCCTCTAGTATTAATATAGGGAAAGGGGGGGGGGGAGGGGTATGGTGTCCAATGCAATGGGACCAACCAATGTTTAAGAAATTGCATGATATTTAACAGTTAAAATGTAAAACACATTCATCTGTGGCACATGCACAAAACTCACATTTCTATTAGACTCAACCTCCACCCACGTCTCTATAACTTGTTCCCTGTCCACACATTGCGTGTGCTATGAAAGCTAATTAATATATTAATTGAGAGCAAATGAGCTGGCCCCCATGGTCTCTCCCTACATTGTCTATATAACTTCTATTAATTACATAATCCCCCCCCCACACACACACACTCACAAAAAAAAAAAACTGTCATTCCCTCTTGCACACCACGTGTATTCACATAGTAAGTGCCTTATCTCTAGTAATCTTTGAAATGAGGTTCTCCCAGGCAGCAGTTGAAAAGGAAATCCAAGAAACATCAACTCATCCTCTCTCTCACACACACATCAACACTAGCAAGGCTCCCATTTTTCATTCTCTCCACTTAATACATTCTTCTTCTCCCTTATAAATAAAAAAAAGAGGAATTCTATTTGGATTTAAAAATCTGATTTGATTTATTGATATAATGATGTGACTTCAGTGAAACCATTGGATCAACACAAAATTTCAATGTTTGATGGAGCCTACGGTCAATACAAAGGTCATAGTGAATGAGGTTAACAAATTAGGTCCCAATAGCATTGCTCTAAAAAAAATAACAAAAATTAATACTTAAAATAAAAAAGCCTCAGTGTTGCCACTCTAGGCCTTCAATTATCTTGTGCTGCCCTACTTTTCTTTTCTCCAATTTTCCTCCCTCTATCTTTCATTCACCCAATTTTTATTCAAACTACACAGGCCATTAAAAAACTTATCACATAATTCTCATAATTTGTGGATCAACCATAATGCACCACAAACTTCATTAACTACTAAAATAAAATCATCTTAGTACTTTTTTTTTTCCCTCTTTTACTCTTCCTTTTTATTTTCTTTGGTTTATTCTCGTTTAAGTTCAAACGATCAAGTTGCAACACAATTAGTTCAATTAACAAAAACAAATATTGTCAAGAAAATAAGAGCGTTTAGAGTGTTAATCAAGATGATGATAAAAATTTAAGTGCATTCAAAATTTCTAAGTTTAATTTATTTGTTATTGGCTTAGTCGAAGCTCGAGTCTAGTTGGTTTTTGATAAATTTTTGTTTAAGTTTGATTTTACAAAAACTTTTATAAGAATATATATATATATAACTCATCAACTTAAAAGTCAAAATGAAAATAACAAATTTTCCAATAAATATAAGTCAAGGGTATTAGTTTGTTGTTTTTTTTTTTTTTGAACAAGACGAATTTTCGTTTTTTTGATATCGAAATTTTCAATTCTAATCTTGATGGTAACAAGACCGCGCTAGAAATTTATATGTTTTAAATTTAAATTTTAATATTTTTTATAATCAGAGAAATTAATCGGTCCCGGATAGATGGTCTAATCTAAATTGACCCAACATCCATCATGTATGATCAAAAAAATATATATGTACCTCGAAATTTTCGAACCTTCTCAAGGCGCATTCCGCGAACCGACTCACCGAGAAATTTCAACGCCTTCCCATCCACGGCTTTGAAAACGTCATCCGATTCAGACATATCTAAGAGCCGGCCTTCCGATGATGCTACGTTTATAGTTTCAGAGTCTCTTCCTCTTTGTTCAACAATGGCTTCGATCTACATCTGTACGGAATGCGGAACAAACCTCAATCTCCAAACCGCCCACCTCTTCCCACCGGACTTCTACTTCGAGGCCGGCAATAAAGGAACCCTCTCATTCTCTATTGTCGACACCACCAAGTTCAAGTTTGAGAAAGAAGATAAGATCAGACCCTTCTTTGAGACCCTGAATTATTGGGGAATCCAAAGACAACGGACCAAGATCAAGTGCAATAGCTGTGGACATGTTGTGGGTTATGTGTATGATGATGGTCCGCCTCTCACTGGCAGTCCTGGTCAGCTCCATATGGGGCCTAGTCAGGTCATCCCTAGGCTTCCGAGGTACAGGTTTAAGACTAAGGCTCTTCGGATTACTTCTGAAACTTGATGGATTTTGAAATTCTGTTTGTGGGTTTTGTGTTTGGGGTTATGGGTTTTTGTATTCATCTGTTTTATGTAGTGGATTTGATGTACTTGATGTGAAATTTTCATCTTCAGGGACTTTCATGTGCGTGTTGTAATTATATAGTTTTTCATGTAAAAGTATATGTTACAGTTCAATAAAATTTGTATTGGTTTTGTCCACTTTGTTGTTCTGGATCTTCTATTTGATATTTCAGCTGCTGAATCTATTGTGGTCAATAAGGGGACATTGGATATCTCATGCAACTGTATTTCGCCGACTGTGTTTTGTTATCGATACACTTGAAATTTTTTGTCATATGATATTCTTGGAATTGATTCTTTGATGGGATCCCAGTTTCCGTATAGTATTATTCATACTAAGTATGTGTGTTGTTCAGTTTAGGGATGCCTAGCAATTCGCAATGAAGGTTTCAGTACAAAATGTTGATTTATCTTTCTGTTATTGAAGATCTTCCCTGGTCCATTTGTTTATGCTACATTGCTATATGGATGGTCTAAATGGAGGATTCATTTTGTTTGTCTCAAATAAGGTGGCACCTCTTAGATACTGTGTTGAAAGTTCTTCTATGGTAATGTACCGAGAAAGGCATTAAATTTGTTATTGTTTTTAGGTTTTTAAGTCCAACATTGAAAAAAGCTTATCGTGGAAGCAAAACCATTTGCCTTCTTCCCCTTACAAGTTTCTTCATGACCCGTGTATACCATCAACGTACCACAATTGGCGCCTCTTTCATGAGCTCCACAACTGTAACCACCACAAACAGCAAGGCTTTGTATAAACACATTTGTCAATACCTTTACTATGTTAATGAATGTCTCAAAAACTTCTTACACTCCATCAATTGTCTGCAACCTTGCTCCTATAACCCACAATCCTATAACCGACATCTCGGCACTTTGTGCTAATTGTACCATCTCTGCTCCATGGTCATCACCATCGCCACCACTGCCTTCCTCCCTCTAACCCCCAGATTTCTTAGCACCATACTTGTACCTTTCTGTAGTTGTCTGTTTCTACTTATAAGATACCCTTATTATGGGTGGAGCATTGCTTTTAAGATGGCACAAGCTTTGAATGTCAAGCATTAGAATGGGGAACCATTCTCTGTATCATTTCAATTCCATCGGATGTTCCTGAAGCGGCAGAGCGGGATAGGATCCTGAAAGCCGCCATATCCTGTGAATAAAGCCAGAGATTATGTCTATACCCATCATCCCCTTCGACCACCTCACATTGACTGAATTATTATCTGGTAATAGCTTTTATGCTCTTTGCAAGCAACCAACTAAATATTCCTTCAGTTTTGGCTTAAGAGATAAAAAGCCACTTGTCTTGGTTTTCTTGCTTTTCCAAGATACTCTAGAAGCATTGCCTTAGTTTTTAATACTTTCAAGCACGACAACAGAACAGCTCCTCTGTTCACAACCTTCTAGGGTAGAGAACATATTTACCTAATTGTCAAACGAATTTATTCTGACTTACTCTTGCCCCTAGTGAATGGTGCCTCGTAACCTTTGTAGATAAAATTGATTGCAAGGTTATGATGGAATTGATTGCAACGGAGTATGCATAGTGTTGCTACCTTCTTAATGACATTAAGCCATCTTAGAATATTGGGCCAGGGTAATGGCTCCCACATGATGGCAGATTGGTTGATTCCCTTCTACGGTTTGTAGAATTTCTGCTTGCTTGGAAATGAATAGAGTAATATAATGGAAGTTAACACCGCACGACAAGAGGAGGAAGTTGAATTTTTGGATAATTGTCAAGTAAATGAGTTCCCAATATACTGCTGGATATGATAAAGTTTTAGAATTTTAACAGATCACCGAATGACGAGGAAAACTTGAGGCTCTTCACTTTTTTTTATTGTTATAAATATCTGCTTGAGTGATGAATGAGTGATCAAGTGGGAATTGTTCCTTAGAGCACCTGCGGAGTGATGTTGAAAGGAAAACAAATTTGCTCACTGACGAATACAATATACTTAATATGCACAAGCAGGCTATTTTACTTTGTGTTACTAAGCATTTTTTCACTCCCTTTTGGGTGATTTGGGACATAAGGAAGCTTTAGAAATTTCTTCAGGAACCTGGTCCATTGTGTGCTACATACATGATTACTTAAGATTTTAGGTAAGAAGTATTGGTGAATAAGTTAGATCTTTCAATAACGATTTAATTTTTAGTATCCCATGGAGGATTACAGAATGACACTCTCCAATTTGGATATCTGGAGTACTATAGCTTCAGTTTTATGATAAAATCCATACTCACTATGATTTTATTGGTCATTTTTACAGCACTCTGTTATGAGAACCACATATAACTGTATTACTGCTACGGAAGGAGAGTCATCTATGAGAACTGGAGATCAGATAGTTTCCAGTAGTCTGTCTAGAAGTTTATCAAAATTTCATTTGCTCTAGTTATTATTTTAAATTTAATATAATCGTTGGGCATTTATATCTCCTCTTTGTCAAAAGATTAATAGTACTCGTTTTATGTTGCTAAGTTGAGAAGCTAATAATGCTCGGATCAGTAACCTATACCCCGCCAAAAAATAGTTAAGTATGAAAGAATAAATAAACATTTAGCCTATTAGGTTATTACAGTTACAGATACCTACTGCCAATGCATTGGTGGGTCATTTGCTGCCAATATCATTCTTTACATGGGGGTTATTGGTGTAATATATGGGATACATTCCATGCTAAATGAGCAATATATGTGTGTGTGTGTGTGCGCGCTAGATCGTGGCATATGTTACAAATCACAATTTATACCGAAGTATGGATTTTAGTTTTAAATCTGACTATTTTAAATTAAAACTGGTTGGCAGACATGATTTGTGCACTTAAAGTAGTGATTGTCTTGGTTTTGTTTTTTCCTTCAATAGTCTAATGGTTGGACACGCCAAGTGGAAGACTAAAATGAGGAGGGCATGTATGGGGATGATTAAAATCACATCAATTTAAACCACAAGCATTGTGCATGGAAAAAAAATATTCATCTAAAGTTTAGATTATTGCCAAGGGTAATAAATGTTTGTTGTTTTATGTTTTCATTGAAACTCAGCATGTGTTGTGTTTAATATTTGTCTTGGTATCAAGTTTGGATGAAGGTGAAGAATTTCACTAGGTAGCTGGCATGCATTATAAAACTAGTCAAATCTCATATAAATATTAACTTTGAGTTGAGTAGGTTAGGATTATTACTTAGGGCAATAAATGTTTTTCGCCCTATGTTTTAATTGATTCATGTTAAAATGGTACTTTGAATGTCATCCATCATGTATGGTGCTAATGTTCAAAGTTGCATCTACTGGTCGTATTACCCTTTGTCTTATGATTTTCTCACAGTATTCTGTCTTGAATGCGACTTGGAAATTCTTGCATATGCCAAGTCAGATTTCACTGTCTAATGCTCTTCACCAGCAAAAACAGTGGCAAACACTGCTGAAGGGTTGTGGTAGCAGCAGCAAATGCCACCAATCAGTTGGTCATCTGCTAGGATCTGAAAGTTAGGTTGATTTGGTAGTTACATAGAATTGGTGAGATTATATATTCCCCTCTTTTAAGTTTGTAATCCAACATTGTTCCTGCTCATAAGATCAACAAGGCCAATTAGGTTGAAGGGTTCTGAAGATGAAACAAACGGAAGTGGGTGCAAAGTCAAAAAAGTCCACTCCTCCTCCTCCACCATCATTTCCCAGGTTTTGGGTTGCAATAAAACCAGCAGTTGAAACAGTGAGCATTACAAATCAAGAGCCGAGGAAGATCACCTCCTTGCTGCCATCAAGGCTGCAGCTCGTGTCAGGGCATGCAATCTCCAGGTAAGTTCTAGTGATAATTAATTTAGTATTCATAGCCAAGCTGATGATGAAACTTACATGTAGTGACTTAGTTGATGAGCCTTTAGTTGATGAGCCTTTTATTCAACTGAAAATCTTTTGTGCTCATGTTTGAGTCTTGCTGAATTTTGCCAATGCCAAAGAGTTCCTCATATGTTTAGGTATTGCCCTTGTGCAATGTTGCCAAAGAGTAGTTAGTGCTTGTAGATCTGGTGTGCCGAAGGTCTTGTTCTGTGGGCTGAAATAGTTATATCGCTGCATACGTGATAAAAACATGGGTTCGGGTCTCCTCTCAGGATCATTGAAGGGATTTGTCATTATAATTGTCCAGTGAGTGTTAGATCAGGGGATTGCAAGTGTTCGCAAAGATTAATTGGATACTCTAAAAGATCTTAATTTCTTCTACTAAGGCAAAAGAAAGATAAGCGCAGGATATAGATCAGAAGCTCCTCCCAAAAAATGATAAAAAAAAAAGGTCAGAAGCTTCTCGTGTCAAAACTGCACCAAGTTACAAACCAGTTGGGGTCGGTGGTCTACGGTCAACTTCACTCAATTCCATTTTTTTTTTATAGGAAACGTAAACTTTGTCACTCGATTGCATTGAGTGCCACTAGATTATGATGTTTGATTTTAGAGGACCTTTCAGTATTACCACTCCTAGGTTATGCTGAAATTTGAACTCTCTTGTCTGATTAACTTCTTCATGTTGCATGGTGTATAGGAGGATGACTACCGGCTCTTTGAAGAGTCCTTGAAAGAGGATGATGACAGGAAGGAGAATGATGCCACTGTCCACAACTCAAGCAAAGTAGATCAGAACAACAAAGAGTTATGCGCGGGAATAAAGGACTGGTTAGTTAAATCCCTCATCCACCTCTCTTAAAAGTTCTGCACTTCATAACCACTTGGTCTATATAATTTACTTACAAGAAATGAAGGCAAATTAAATAAAACATGCATGATTTTTTTCTCCAGATGTTGCATGAAAATTTGTAAAGCACTCACAAATTAAGGGGTATATGTGATGAACATTTCTACAGATTTCACGCTGGTTGTAGCTGGCATTCGTGCTGTTTTGTGTAGTTCAATAGCAGAGATGAACATATATTTTTCATGATGGGATAATACTACTGGAGTTTTTTTTTTTTTTTTTTTCGGGTTTTTCAATTAACTTATGCAGGTGGACGAAGATCAAGTTTGCATATTTGAATCAACCAGCCATGGACACACCCAAGCGCCGAAATTCCACTTATCTTCCCAATTTTTGTAATTTTAACCCTTCTCTCCTACCTCCAAGTCCAACCACATCTAGGCAAAAAAACAGCCCGATTGTTTGAGCGGCAAAGTGAAATAACTGTCCGTTCAATTCGTAACCCACGTTTGTGGCTGAAGCAGTATGAACAAGTCAAAGATGTTATGATATAATTGAGGGATAGTGAGTTCGAGAGAGGGAGAGGCTGCAGGTTCCCTTTGAAATGTTGCAAGTTGTCCTTCCTGGCAGGCACCAAACCAGCTGTCTTCAGCCGGTCTTAGTCTGGTCTTCACATAATCGCATCACTACTTTAGCTTTTAATAATGTGGTGCTGTTTTTGTTTTTTGTTTTCTTTTAAACAAGTAATGGTGCCCATCACATGGCTCCTCTCTCTCTCTCTCTCTATATATATATATATATATATATATATATATATATATGTACTAGTTATTGTCTGTGTGTGAAGGTACAGAATAATAAAAATAGTAAATAATAAACATATTTGTATTCATATTTAAAATCAAATCATAAATATAGAAGAGAGAAAAATAAATTTAAGCTTAAGTTGTAACGGGGGTGAGAGGTGGTGGGTGACAGAGGTGGTGGTAGGAGATGGTGATAATTGTGGTGGATGACAATGACCGTGATGGCGGCGGTAGTGGCGGCGGCAGCGATAATGGCGGTGGCGGCAATGGTGGTGGCGGTGGCGGTGGGGGTAGCGACAGTGGTGGTGGGGCGGTTTCGAACACTATTTTTTTTTAAATTACTTATGAGAAATAATTCTTAAAAGTACTTTTAAAAAGTCACTTCAAACACACCTTTAGGATGTTATTTTTTTTTATTAAATTTAGGGTGCTAATATTAGCCGTTAGATTAATTTTAAAATAAAATTTAAAATGATCTGAACCGTGAAAAGTAAAAGTCATTTTGTTTATCTTTTGAAATTTGAATTGTAAGTTACTTTATTATATATATTAGTTATTGCATGTGTCTGAATGCACAGAGTAATAAAAAATGGTAAACAAAAAACATATTTGTATTTATATCTAAAATTAAATCACAAACATAGAGAAAAGATAAATAAATTTAAGTATCGGTTGTAGTGGGGGTAAGAGGTGGTAGACAACAATGGTGGTAGTAGGAGATATTGATGGTTTTGGTGGATGACAATGACTGTGGTGATGGTGACGGTGGTGGTGGCAGCAACGGGGGTGGTGATGGCAGTGGCAGTGGCAGCAATGACGGTAGCGGTGGTGGTGGCGACAGTAATGGCGACAGTGGTGGCAGTGGTTGTGGTGGTAAACGTAGTGGTGAGGTGGTTTCAAACACTATTTTTTTTAAAAGTATTTATGAGAAATAATTTTTAGAAGTATTTTAAAAAATCACTCCAAACTCTCCCTTAGGGGCCCTAATTTTTCTATTACATTTAAGGTGTTAATATTAGTCATTAGATTAATTTTAAAGTAAAATTTAAAGCGATCTTAACTGCGAATAACAAAAGTTATTTTGTTTATTTTTTAAAATTTAAATTGTAAGTTACTTTATTATATATATATATATTTTTTTTTTCTTTTTTTTGGTACAAAAAATAGATATACCGATAGATCACTTCACATATCTGTCATTCCACATATCTGTTAGGAAGCATTGTCCCTCAGCACCACACAGCTGTAGGGGATCCCATCACACATACATTGGGGCCGAAGTTAAGGTCTTACCGTGTATTCTAGGTGTTGAAGAGTAGGTTTAGTTCTAATGAGTTACCGTAGCTATAGATACTCAAACCTAAACATTGAGCGAGAAAATCCAAATTCTTACCCATTGAGCCAACAACTCAATGGTTTCAAATACATACAATTGTAGGCAAACAAAGTATTGATTAAACAAGAGTGGACACAAACTCAAGACCAAACATATTAGATTAATTAGGGGTAATTTGTGCTTGAAGGCACAATACAAAGTAAATGATTTTAAGAGATGTTGGTGGTCATTGGATGAGTCTATTTGAGACCGTCGAATAATGTTATTGAAACCTACTCTTTTTTATAATATGGAATTGATACTTGGTGCTTGCCATATTCATTTAACCAAATATTTGTTCTTTCTATGGTTAGTCTTGCTTAACCATTCATTATTATTATTTTTTTAAATTCAATAATCAAGAGTATTTAAATTAATTTAAGCACTCTTCGACTAATACTCTCTTCGATTTAGTCTAATCTCCATTGAACTCCAATGCACAAGAAGTTAAGCCATCCATTGGTGATTAATGACAGGCTTAAATAGTTAAGTTCCTCAAGTTGAAGTTTTCCATCATCCCCTGAAGGTCGCCTACCTAACTGCCCTTGTACAAGGGTAACATTCCTAGAGGTAGCCACAATATGAGACTTTATACACTAGTCACATTCTTATCCATACCTTCTTTTTTTTTTGTATATGTAAATTTACTTAGTCCGTGATTATGAAAGTGTCAATAAATTACATCAGTCCAACTAGATTGGTACTATTCAAGAGGGGGGGGGGGGGGGCAACATTAACATAACATAGATAAATTATCTTTTTTTTTTTTTCGTATAGAACAACAACACAATCACGAATCTGTATGAAAAAAATACTATCTAAAGTATGGTATTATTCAATAAATAAAATGATAATACGTAGACGCAGTTTAAAAGGATTCTCGAAAAAATTAAACGATACCGAAATGGATTTAAAGTTTTAATTATGCCTAGATCATTCAGAAACAAGAAATTGCTCATATGAAGTTCAAACATTGGGCACAAACTGCATTTCGGGTCTCAATGACCTGTATTATTTGTTTAAGATTAATGGCAATATTTTCATATTAATGTAGTTGTGTCAAGAACAAGATTTTCGATCGAGACTGCAAAAGAAAACCCTAGCCATTCTTTAATCTCTAAAAAATGCTTTAACATTGTTTTCACCACTAGTTTGTTGTCTAAGGCTCTGTTTGGTAACTGCTTTTAATTATTGTTTTGTTTTGAGTTTTAGACAATAAAAAAAATAAAATAAAACATATTTGTTAGTTATTTTTGTTTTTTTTTCATCCCCAAATTTGCAAACATGAGATCAGTGTTTGCAAAAACACCAAAAAAACAAACCAACGCACGCGCACCTATTATTTTTTTAATGAGATCTTGCTTTCGAATCCCATTTACAGAAAAAGGCCATTTCTGAAATAAAATGAAATAATTCTATTTTTTTTGTTTCAAAATTGAGTTAATTTTTTTGACTGCATAATCTTAAAAGTCATGCATAGATCCCATTATATTAAACAATTATGCCAACAAAAAATTCAAAATCTATCGGTAGTTCATATCATGTGCAATAAGACATTCGTCTATAATAATGTTTGGAAGAGGAGAGTGATAAACCTTATTTTGAAGAAATTAATTTTTTTTAAAATGTTATTTGAATCTAATTTAGCAATCTAATCGATTGATTGCATTTGTTGGATTGAAAGAAAGCTTTGTTTAATCTTGGAATTTATAATTAATCAAATAATTACAATGAATTAAATCCTCAAATTAGATTTATATAAAACTACTATGATTTTTAACTCGAACTTGTGAAGTGTATTTGCATGAATGGACACTTGCCATTAAGCATATCAAACGATCGGATTTTGATCAAAAATTGAATCTGATTAATCAAATATGTATTGATATTTTTTTATCGATTATCTGAATTTGAATCTAAATCCGATATTTTATATTTCACAGATTCGAATTTTGATATACCTATATATGATCCTAAATATTTAAATAATTTTTTTAAAAAGTGATTATTTGGAGAAAATTAGTTAAAATTTAAATATAATTTGTTAAAATTTAATTAATTTAAATTATTCGAATTAGATTGGATCGAATTTCAAATTATTAATAAATTTATATATGAATTATAAAAATAAAATTCATCGAATTAGGAGATCAAATTTTCAAAATCAAATTCAAATTCAAATTCAAATTCGAATCCGTCAAAATCTGTCCAAATTTAATCCGTCGACAAATTTACTTGTCGTTGCTCCACATCCGAGGAACCAATCAAATCGTGATTTTTGTAATCCGTTGACAAGCTTACTTGGGGGATTTCCGAAATATAACAAAGTATAGGGGATAAAAGACGCCACAAAAGCTAAAACAGATTCCGTGTACTGTGTACAGGTAACGTACCCTCCGAGTCGTCGCGCAAGATAGACAAATGTTTATGCCTATTTCGTCAAAACAAGCCCACCGTATCTATCTTCTCTCACACACCCAAACCCAAACCCAAACCCAAACACCGAATGAAAAAAAGCTTTCACTTGTTTCTCTCTCAACCTAGTCTTCTGATCTTAGTTCTCTAGATTCGAAACCTAGGGTTTGAATATCGAATTGAAACCGAATCCTGAATTTTGATCTGCGAAAATGGCGGTGAAAGGGAGGTACGGGCGAGGTCCATCTCGGAAATCTTCTCAGTCGACGCTTGTGATCGCTATGCTCATCATGTTGTCGTTCCTCATTTTGATTCTTCTGGCTCTCGGAATTCTCTCGATCCCTAGCACTTCCAGAAACGCCCCTAAAGCAAATGATCTTAGCTCGATGGTTCACACCACTGTGGAAAGGTACTTTTCGTTGAATCGTGTTTGAAAAATAGTTATTTGTTTGAATCTGACTGTGATCTGATCTCACTGAGCTTAATTTGGGGGTGCAGAAGTGATGAAGATGAGGAGAGAGGAGACCACTGGGTTGAACTTATCTCTTGGGAGCCTAGAGCCGTCATTTATCATAATTTCTTGGTAATTTTCTCCTATATGTATGTGTGTGCGCCCTCTCGTATAGAGAGAGTGAGTGTACGCCCATTTTAATGCAACCAGTGTTTTAAAATTGTGCATCCATCCGATTGTAAATGACAGTTTGTGCACTTGTGTATAGTGTAGTTTGTTTTTTAATTTACGTGTGTCAGATGGTTTCATGATAGGTAATTTAAGACTTTTGATTATATCCAAATCAATTGCAACAAAAATTGAAATGTGTTAGATATATAACGTTGTAATTAGAGGCTAGACTAATTAAAAGTCTTCCTATCACTTATCTTTCCCACTCTCTGATATAAATGAGAGTAGTGCACATTGTTTTTTTAAATTGTTGTAATTGTAATTGTGTTGCACATTGTTTTTTTAAAATTGTTGTAATTGTAATTGTGTGTGTGTGTGTTTCTATTTGTTTATCATATGTAAACATACCCAACATTGGGCATTGTGAACCACTCAAGTATGATTTGTGAGCTAAGATTAAAGGCAGGAGTAATGGAGCATGTTCATGGTGTAGGACAGAAGTTAAGTGATCTGGTAATCCAATTTTTGTATTAATCCCGTAACTTGTTTTATAGTGTTAAATAGACTTACATGTTATTTTGAGGTTTTCGATCATATTTATTTGGACGGCCTCCTTTAATCTCGTGGGCTCTGTTATAATGGTTAATTTATATATTAGTCTGCTTTATCGTTGGCAACACAGTTCAGTCCGGACAATCACCATTTGATCACACATACGGGGGGTAGGGGCGGGGGCTGTGGTTCTGTTGTTTAGCATTTGTTGTTTATGAATATGTTATGGCTGCAGTTTCGATGTCCTACAAAGTCGCCAAATTGAATTTTCTTTTCATTTTTCTTGTGCAGTCCAAGGAAGAATGTGAGTACCTAATCAACCTTGGTAAGCCTCATATGAAAAAATCAACAGTTGTTGATAGTGAAACCGGCAAAAGTAGAGATAGTAGGTGCGCATTTTCTGCCTCTTTTCTGTTTTGGCATTTAATTTATAGTTGGAAGATGAGTTTTTCCCTTTGGCATCCCCCCTTGTTTACTTGTACTTCAAGAACCTTGAGATGCTTCTCACATTCAGGGTACGTACAAGCTCTGGGACATTTCTGGCTAGAGGACGTGATAAAATAATCCGGGACATTGAGAAAAGGATTGCAGATTTCACCTTCTTACCTGTTGGTATGGAGTTTGAGGAAGTCGTTAATTCTTTATGTTCTAGTGATGCATTTTTCAAGTTCTTTTTCTTCCTTCTTTTGTGATATTCCATATAAACATTTGCTTTTGCCAAAGACAAATCTTTGTGGTGCATTAGTTTGCTTGGCATTTAGGTGAAAACCAAGACTATTAAGCTTTAAACCTAATCATTGACATTAGCTTAATCCTTTGTGGATCAATTATGATAGGTTAACACTTGAGAGTACTGTGTGACCTATTCTCAGCTTGACTTCACCCTCTATGACCAATGGTGTCAGGAAGGTTGTGCTATGGATGCTGTTTCACACCAGTTCCCGTGTAGGGTAGTTCACCTTATTAGTTATGCAGTTTATACATGATATCTTGTAGAGGAAAGTGTTTAGAAGAAAGAGTTGAAGGCTCACTGTTATGAAAATTTGCATTTTTCTTTGACCACCTGATTTTTACTCTTAAATTTTTCTGGTATTGAATTTGAATGTGATTGTTCTCATATATTTGAACTACTGAATGACCAAAAAAAACCTTCAGTGATTTTCTCACTTTTTCTGTTTGCCAAAATGACCTTGATGTAAGCAATTCCTTTGTGGGACCTTGTGAGTTTGTGAGAGGAAATATTCCTCAGTTTTATTCAGAAATTTGTTGATGATTAGTAATAGTGTAATGACTTAATGGTCGCCAAGTATGGGAGACAGCTTTTGTACAATTAAAACCACTCTTTAAGGACTATTGGGCTGTTAGCTTTAACGTGTATGTTGATTGTTTCGAGTCTTTGTGACTTCTGGTATGCTACACTTGCAGCATATCATCATCTATTCATCAGATAATTTTAAATGCCATGTAGGTGGTAGTGTTCTAGGTGATATTAAACTTGCAAACTGTGATACTTCCTTGGTATCCTTAGAACTGCTCTTCTCATGTCCTTTTTCTCGTGTGACTGCCTGTACTTGTGCTAGGCTTCTCCTTTAACTTTCTCATCATTTCTGTTAACATCACCACTACATCTTCCTTAGATTGATATTCATGTTAGCACTGCACATGGACTGTATAATTTTCATTCTACTTTGTGTGGTTTTTAGTTTTTGATTTCTTATTTGTTGCTTTGCAATATTTAAAATTTTGTGTAAGTTCTTGCTGCAATTTGCAGAGCATGGTGAAGGACTTCAACTTTTGCACTATGAAGTGGGTCAGAAATATGAGCCTCATTATGACTACTTTCTTGATGAGTTTAACACTAAGAATGGGGGTCAACGCATTGCTACAGTTCTCATGTATCTGTAAGTGAAACTACGTCTTGAATGCTATAACTTTTTGTATTTGTCTTGCCCCCTTAATCCTTTTTTTGTGCCCCTTATTGTGTTCCAGCTCAGATGTTGAAGAAGGGGGTGAGACAGTGTTTCCTGCTGCCAAAGGGAATTTTAGTTCTGTGCCTTGGTGGAACGAGCTTTCTGAATGCGGAAAAGGAGGGCTTTCTGTTAAACCAAAGATGGGTGATGCATTGCTTTTCTGGAGCATGAAGCCCGATGCAACTCTGGATCCCTCAAGTTTACATGGTTAGTTATGATATATCATATAATTGATAAAGGTGTAGTAGAGATCTCAACAATTCTCATGCAGGCATGTCAAGGGGATACTGCCGACATTTGTTTTTGCGTTACCAAATTCACAACTTGCTAACGCAATCTTAGAGTCTTTAATTTTCTTAGTTATGAAATATTTAATGATATGACTTCGATTTTCTTGTCTTATTCAGGTGGCTGCCCTGTTATTAGAGGGAACAAGTGGTCCTCTACAAAATGGATTCGTGTCAATGAGTACAACATTTGACCTGTTTACTGTGCAAAAGGTAAGAGGCTTTTGTGTAATTCCAGCTACACCCCCAAGAATTGTTGATGTGGCTCTGTCAATATTACTTATTTTAAAATAAGCATCTTTGTTTGCTCATATCTCATGGTAATAGGAAAAGAGATTTTTGTAGAACTACACGAAGTCGGATGTGTCCTGTGGACATTAGGATGAAGCTGTCAGGTTGTTGGCACATCTATAATTCATGGAAGGATGGCAGTCCAAGATATTGCACTTAGTTACTTTGTGTGTGTTATAATAGGAATATAATTTATAGCTTTAGGCCAGAGGTGAGTATCCTATGGGAGAAAAAAGGAAAGTGAAACCTTAAACATTGGGTAGTTAGGAAAGAATTTACCCTGCATTGTGAGAAGCTGTTTGTTGCTCATCTTTTCGTAAATAGTTGCCAACACGAGCTGTTAACTGATCTTCCTCACTGGAGTGTGAGATTGGTAGGCAATAGTCTAGAGCTGATGTGCTACATGATATGCCAATGCTTCTTCCGAAATATGATAGCCAGGAAAGGCAGTGGTTTTCTACCTTTTTATTTATTTATTTTCTATCGCTCCTTTTTGTCACCCCCTTATCTTCCCAGTTCCTATTTGCTTGTTTATTTCTGATGTGACATGCCAAATTACATATACTCAGTTGAAAGCTAACAGCCAATAGAAGTAGTGACTTCTACAGCCTCTTCACCATGTGTCTAACGTGTCTTTTTTCTTTTTCACTTCCTCTTTCATCCTTGTCCATTGTGCAATTTTAGGTGGCATATATTCTGTCATTCTGCAGAGATCTGTAAGAGATTATAACCGCCTCTTACAGTTATACCCATTTATTTCCAACTGTCTATCCAAAAAAGTGTGGTGGATATCAAATTTAACCTTTGTTTCCCCATTCTCTCTTTGGACCCCCATTTTCTTACTTCTTGCTGTTTGAAACACACAAAACTGCTTGTTTTGAATCGAGCTGTATATGCATTTGAAACAGATATTGAAATTATTTTTGTAATAGCTGATCCATTGAAATTCTTGTACTGAGAAATTTCCTTCTTGGCAGGTTCGAAAATTATTTTTTGATGCATCCAAAATTGTACAATGTGTAACAAATCCAGTCATAGCTTACCAGCAGCTCCTCAGCTATGCGGCATCAAGTTTATGATGTAACCTCATACCTAGTTTGAGGTTTTTTCTTCCTAGTCATATAGTTTCATGCTTTGATACCATCAATTTTGATGTACAACTACCTCAGTGCTAACTTTTTTTCTCTAAAGCCAATCATGTTTTTATCTATAGAATAAAGGTTGGGAATCCTCATTTGGATTCAAACTTCAAACTGCAAGGGTTTTGGCTTGCCTGAACATTGAGGGATCGAGTTTCCCATTATCGATTTATAAACACCTATATTTAAAGCCAGAATATATGTAAATTGGACGTAAAAAGTGTTCCTTCCCATTTTTTCTTTCTAGTCTGCTGTGAACTTAATTATAGTCCCCCTAATGGTATGGTGCTTTTGGAATATATGCTCCATGTTAGACTGCTATGTGTTTATTAGATCAGATGCCTGTATTAGCGGGTGTTTCTCTTTCTTTTATTATAATTATTATTGTTATTATTTTAGATTCATAATCAATCACCTTGATGAATCCATTATCATTGACTTTAAACTCATGTGATCTTACTGGTGTCTATCTACCGAGGCTTCAAGGACAAAGGGTTATTGAATGGTTCTCGTACCTAGTTCCAGATGTGTCTTCCCACATGGCTAAATTCTCAATGCGACGCCAAATTCCATGGGAAAATGTTATAGATGTTAAAGCATACCCACAAGGGCCCAGGTACCGGATTTGGATCTCCTCTAGTATACTTTTACTAAATTTATGTCGATGATAGATCCTTCATTTCGAGTATTTATCTTGAAGAGGGAAATTGATGAAAAGTATGTTGAAGGGGATTTTGAATCCGATGGTACCTGTCTGAATTTACAATCTGATCCTTCCACCTGGTATTTAAAGCAGACAAGCAAATCCCTAGCCACTATCAACCATGCCTAGCAGATATATGAGGACTTAGGGGTGACAATTTCATATACTAGCACGAGCCAAGGACGAAATTGATGTGCTCAATTATTAGATCATTTTTCTTTATAAGGCAGCTAGTTTGAGTGGGGTCTGACGGTTTTCCAAACTTTAAGAAGGGGTAGTTGGATAGGAAATATCGATCGCAATCAAGGATTGATTTCGGAAGGTGTGCTTATTCAAAGAGTGAGACAGTTGGTGTTAAGACACGAATAAGTCGGCTAAATTTTATGATAATAAGAAAATGCAAGATATTTTCTTGTTTCATATCTTGATATAGGGAAAATATTCGGGTGAGTTGCACTTTGCATCATCAAAGAGTAGATTCTCTATATTACATTTTCAAAGTATTAAAATTATTACAATGCGGTCCGGTTATTAGCTTATGTTGTTTATTTTGTCAATGTCAATGGGGTGATTTTTAATAAAAGCAACAGAAGTTCGTGGCAGAGCCACATTGCAATAATTTTAATACACTAAGGGTGCAACATGAAAAATTTAATCTTTGATGATATAAAGTTAAAATTTTTTATTTTTTGGGTGCAAATTGTAATTCTACTAAAATATTATTTAAATTTAATTTGAAGACTTAATTAATTATAACTATTGAAATGAAAGTGAGTTTCATCTAATATTGAAAATTATAATTAATTTAATAGATGCATTGAATTAAGTCTTTGATTTGATTTTCTATGCCATATAACATTGCTACTTGATTTAGTGTAATGCAAACTACTTTAATATACAATTATTTTTTTATTAACAAGTACATTACACAAATTGAGAATTATAAAATTTGAAAATGACACCATCGTTGGACATGACACAACTTAATTGACACTTCGATGTATCATTAAGATTTTGTTGGCCAAATTTGACGGATGTGGAAGCAACAATTAAATTGTTGTTTGAAGGAAATTTGTGGACTTAGCTAGAACACCTTTCGTCCATATACGAACACTATTATTATAGAATTTAAACCTAGGTGTCCCACACACTCCCCAACAGTTACCATAGTACACAATTGTAGAAACCAGGACACCTTCTGTTTGCTACTTGTTCTAGTTTTTACACACCTTAAGGGCATGTTTGGTATGTGAATTTTGGATGGTTTTGGAACATGAGTTGGAGAATAAACCCCTCCAACCTATGTTTGACAAATATACATGTAGTTTAAGGTGTGAAACCCGGCCTGGTTTAGGCCCGGTCATGAAACCCAAGTTTATGATTTTTATGAATTCCAAGGGGGGTGAGTTTCATATGCGGGTTAGTGGATTTAATATACAAATAATATTTATACCCTCGTATATCCTATATATCCCATATATACAAATTGGTTAAGGGGTATAATAGTCATTTATATACAAATATATTATCATAATTGATAAGGGCGAAATTTTAGGCATGAGTCGCCATAACCCCGGAGCCCAATAAGCCCAGAAGACCCTCGCCTGTTTATTAATCCAAAGGGAAAACCCCCAATTTGCCCATGTCAAAAAGTAGAGAGGGTTGACAGGAGGAAGCCCAATAACACCAGAGGACCAGTAGCGTAACCCAGGCCCAAGTCAACGACTAGCCAAAGAATAACCCAGTACTGAGCAGCCAAGTCCTCGCCCTGGGAGCACCCCGTCATCCCACGTGTTCAAAGGACAGGGAGACCATCTCTGACACCTATGACAGCTGCATCCTCTCAGACACAGAGAGTGGTGGTGAGCATAACGATCCAGAGATCGTGGGCATAGCAACGCCGAATAACAGAGATTGTTGCAGGATAGTGACGGGGGACCCCACAAAATTAACAGAAAGGTAGAAGGAGCCACCGGGAACCCTAGAAGGAAGAATTGGTATAAATAAAACAGTGTCAATCTACCAAAGAGGGGGAGGGATCTCCCTCATTGTATTTCTTAGCCCTAGATACACAACGAACTAAAGATAAGCCCTCGTAAAGGCTCAGTGCCAACAATCTTAACATACTCACCTGATCTCAATATACGACCTTAAGGTGCAAGAGACTTCATTACAGTGGACGTAGTCTCAGTCTTTTGGTTAAGGTGAACCAATTACACTCTATGCCTTCCATTATTCACAGGTGAACCTCATACCCAATTGAACTCACTAATCCGAGTAACAACTCATCGATTGAGCTTGAGCTATTATTTCTGAGACCCCATAAGTTGGCACCATCTGTGGGAACGGTTTTCATTGTTTTCCTTTTGAGTTTTTATCTATTTGATGGTTTCAAATCAGAACATGAGTAAAGCTCTCGTCAATTCCCAAGTCCACCAAAACTTACTAGAGAAATTTTTGGTCCTCGAAGTGGATGTCGAGGATCACCTCCTAGCGATGAACCACCCTATACTTAATGAACTAGAGACCTACCATCGAACTACAATGCAACTGATAAAGCAGAACCAGACACTGATGTAGTGGATACAGACACATTAGTTCCCTCGGTTCCCACCAGCTCGACAAGAGCCCCCTCTACCCCCAACAGAACATGACGCCCCTCATCAGGAGCGCTAAGCTCCAACAAATGGAGTCACTAAACTCCATGAGCGCAGCCATTCTGGGAAAAATCACTGGAGGAGACACCCAAAATAACACGACGAAGATGAAGCCCACAGTCGAGCTAGAGTCGCCTTCCAAGAAGATAGACCCCATCCTTCGCTGGGTGCCAATGATGATATGTGGGAGCAAAAAATCCGCGAACTTCAACGGGAGCTAGGCAACGTAAAAGAGGTGGTTAAGGGAAAGACCCTCGACACTATGGATGCTTTGGACCAGCAAAGCAAGTCGCCATTCACTCCCGAGGTCCTTCATTTTTCTTTCTCCCAGAAGTTTCGGATGCCATTGATAGAGGCGTTCGACGGGACCAAGGACCAAGTTGACCACCTGAATTCCTATAAAAATCAGATGGAACTCCAAGGGTATCCAAGACCAATCCGATGCTGAGCTTTTGCCATCACCCTTAAGGGGTCGGCAATAGCGTGGTTTAATAGGCTACAACTAGCGTCAGTCTTCTCCTTTAGGGAACTATCAATACAATTCGTGTCGCACTTCATCGGAACAAGGATGTACAAGAAACTGTCATACCACCTTCTGAGCGTCAAACAGGGACCCAATGAGTCCCTCAGAAACCAGGAATGTTTGAAGATGGAAAGTGTGGATGACAAGTTCGCGCTGACCACCTTCATGTCTGGGCCCGGAGTGTAGTCCAAGGACCTCTTCTTCTCAATCGCAAAGAACCCTCAAGCCACTATGGTTGAAGTATTGGCGAAAATCGAGAAATACATCAATGGCGAAGAGGCCCTCTGCCTGAAAGAAAGCTCGACGACGGCAGAAGGAGACACGAAGAAGAGGAATCGCAGTCCCAAGAAAGAGAAAAGATATGATCGGTCCCCGAGAAGAGACTGCTCCTTGAGGAGAAGGAGAGAGCCTTCTCTTAAGAGGGGAGGCAATGTCCGAGACTGCCAAAGACCCCCTCCACAGGAATTACAATTGCGATACGCCCTAGCGCGGCTTCCACCCCTTGTCACCTCAATCACTCAGGTCCTCCACGAGGTTCAAAACGAAAGGTTCATCCGATGGTCGCCCTAGATGAAGTCTGACCCCAGTAGGCGGGATTCCTCCAAATACTGTGAGTACCATAAGGACACGAGCCATGAGACAAACGCCTGCATCCAGCTCAAGAAGGAGATCGAATACCTAATCTAGAGGGGACACTTGCGCCACTACGTGGCAAGAAAAATGAAGAGCGCAGAATAATCAAGGGCGAGAAACCCGAGCTGCCACAACACCAACAAGCTCTTGGCGAAGTCTGGGTCATCTCGGGGGGCAACAGGAGGGGGTGAGTCTAGCTTAGCGCAAAAGGTGCACGCCAGAAGAGCTCGATCGGAAGACTTCCTCGAGGTCCAAGCCATTAATAAGGTACCCCGCTGAGATGTGGAGATCACCCTTTTCGACGTGGATCTCAAAGGGTGCTAGCATCCACATGACGACCCCCTGGTCATAAAGACGATCATCGCGAACAAACTATACATCGAGTGCTCGTCGATAACGGAAGCTCGACCGATATCATTTTCTTATTTGCCTTTGATCAGCTCGGCTTAGAAAGGTCAAGGCTTGAACCTATGAAAACCCATCTCCTGGGTTTCTCAGGTGAAAGAGTCTTGCCAATCGGCTCTATCTAACTCGTCCTCACCATAGGAGATCAACCTCGCCAGGTTATAATCACCCCCCATTTCCTAGTGGTGGACGCCCCTTCTGCCTACAACGTTCTGTTGGGAAGGCCGTCCCTCAACTCCATCAAGGCGATACCCTCAACTTATCATTTGGTGATGAAGTTTTTCACCGAAAATGGGGTTGGTATGGTCAGAGGAGACCAGCGCCTCGCCAGAAAGTGTTATGTGGCATCAATGAGGCAAAATGAGGTAGAATTAGTCCAACTAGAGGACTAAGATATGAGGGAT